TTCTACACTGCTCGGCTTCACAAAAGCGAATCCCATCAGGAACAAATATAAATGCATGGATATGGGGAACGCCATTCTGCAAACGTAGAGCAGACAGGTAAGTAAAAGTGTAGTGAATTGTATCTGAGCTTGAAAAGAAGAACTAAAAAAGCAACAAATGGCTTGAGCATAAACAAAATGAGTGTATTAGTATTTTAGATACCTCGTGTAGCCGTTGCCATGGTACTTCTTGAACATAGGTTTTGACATATACCACTTGGCAAAATGTTGTCATGAAGTGTGTGCAGATATCAACAGCAAATTGTTCTAAAGTTTGGATCTAAGACAACAAACAATACAATTAGAACTCAGCAGTTACCTCGTATACAAGAGTAGATTATTCTAATTGTTCTAAATGTTTGGGAAGGATCAATTTGGTTAAAATACAGATTTTTTTTAATTTTGGTTTTTCGTACTGTATGCCTAGCCATTTGATCAGCTTGCAGCATAAGCTGCAAATAGCAGCTGCAAATTCACATCAAAAGTCTCCCATTCCATGGTACAGTGAGCTGAAGTCTTTGGACTCAGAGGAACTGCTATGCAAGCCTGACCCTGTGAGGATATAATGTTAAAAAAAAATCATAGCGATGCTCTGGTTCAGCTGTACAGGCTAAAGATGGGATTTCATTACTGAGACTGAGAATTTGATCCACAGATTGTCAGTATGATAGATGAAACTGAGGGAGCTAACACTGAGCATAGTTAATAGAACTTTTTTTTTTTTAAGCTACCCCAAAATACTTCTAGCTTTGTGAGGAAAATGCAAAATAAATTATGAGAGGGCAAGTTAACCAGCACTGAAGTTGTCAGAATAGGAAAGAGTACCTCAGTTACCCTCTGTGCACAGGATAATTACTGGAGTAAAAGAAACTCTCTTCCAAATCTTTGAAGGTGACTTAGTGCCAATCTAACATTCAGATGCGGAGGAAAGAAGATTCTTTTGATGCATTTTAGAAAAAAAAAAAAAAAAGTATAACAAATACTTCCAAATAAAGTCAGAAGTAACAGCAAGGCTAGTTAAAATAAAAATACCCCTTTTTTTTTGGCTAACACAAGGACGATATTCTTTATGGTGTCCGTGGGTATCACAGCAGAGTTGTCTCCCTCCAGGTACTCCTGGGCAGTACTCAGCCGGAGATGTGTGCACACTTCCACTTCTTTAACAAAGTGCTTCTTCCCTTCTCTTTTAACACGAAGGAACCTAATTGTGTTCTTGCCATATTCACAGTTGAGGACTTCTACGTCCTTAATCTGCAATGAAAGCACATGCATTACGGCGATGAATGAACTGAATGGAAGCATGAGTTATGCTGAATCAAACAAACATAAACGATGTTTATTATTTTATTTCTGTGATAATGGCAATATTTCCATTATAAATTGCAAAGTCCTGATAGGAAGAAAAAATGCTTTAAGAAGATATTATTACTTTAGTAGCAGGTGTGATAGAGTTTAAACTTGTTTGTGACCTGTGGGGGGGGAGAGCAGATGATTCAACATGAGTAATAGTAAACAGTTATCTCTGACTTATTTTCTTTGGATTAATCCTGACTATATATACCTTTATTAAGTCTTTCCTCTACCAGTTCTTTCTGAAGCCAGAGTGTCCCATCCCAGTCCAGTCAGTCACTTCAGTTACATCCCTGCCGAGGGTAGGCAGTATTTATCCCAGCACCCTCTGCAGTTGTTTCGTCAGAAAACTATGTGTAGCTGGGCTGGGCTTTTCTAGGTACGATTTCTGAATTTCCCTGGCAACAAGATCAGTTTCACCACTTCCTACTCTTCCAGCTCCCAACTTTCACAACTGCTGTAGCGTTTCACACGTGCAAGGCACTGAGCGCTCTCCGTTCCCACTCTGAAGCTGGCAAAGTGTGTTTGCGTCTTTCGAGACAGAGCCCCGTGACAGTGAGCCGAGCCTAGCAAGCCCTGGCACGGCCGTGGGAATTGTAGCCTCCCCAGGCCCCGGGGCTGCCTCTCTCCAGGTACGCGGGGCGGGTGCTGCCTTACTGCTTAGAGGCCCAGTAGAAGCGGTGAGTATCAAAGTGATACTTCAGAAAGGGGCGGGGAGGTTGTTTTGTAAGTGGGCAGAGCTTTCCAACAGAAAATGAAAATAGCTATCGGGTTCTTGGCTTTTTTGGTGTTTTGTTATCCCATTTATGTGTGTTGTGATTCACAAGAGAGGGAAGAAAAAAAAAACAGGCTGGACTAGCTGAAATCATTTTGTCACAATTTTTTTTTTACAGTTCTGATTTCTCACAAAAGGAATCCAAGGTGAGTCTGAGCAGCAAAATTCAGGTCAGGAACTACACCTCCAAAATTCTGGCTTTCTGGGATCATTGGTTTGGTTGGCATTAAGCCCTTTTTGAGTTTTACCCTGCTTCGGTCAAACACAGCCCAATTTATATGTCTGTTATAGCATTGGGAAAGGAGACAAAAATACTATGAAAGTTGTGAGGATTTCTTTTATGCTAGAACATGCAGAGTTTATCACACTAAACTTTCCCTGAGGTTGAAATATCCCATATTTAGTATCAGCATCTTTCAATTTAAGCATAATGGGGAGGGAGAAAGAATTTTTCGACACTAAAAAATAAATTGAAGCTTTTTATTTGTAAGCTGCTGAAAACATCACATGTAAAATTGCTCAATTCGGACACGTTTATTCCTAAGAGAAATGCTGATGCATTTAAAAGAGAATTTTTATAAGTAATTAACTAATTGTAAGTAAATTACTGTGGCTCAGAGATCAGCGTTTTCTCTTACTGTCTCTAGGCTCAGTCCGTACAGACAAATTAAGGATCCCCTCATCGACAAAGTCAGGATCTGGGAGAGTTCAACATTTTGCAAGAAACCCTGTTCCCTTTGCGGGAACGGCAGAAACGCTGTGCTCAGTACAAGGGCTGGGTGGAAAAGCAGTGAGATCAAAACAAACTGATTTTGTTTCGTTTGTCTGAAAACTAAAGTTTTTTTGATATCTGTAAAAAAAAAAATTCATACTTCATTTGCATAGCAGTAAAAAAAACGCAAGGATTTCAGCATCTACAGCTTCTTTGAAAGCAGAATACATTAAATATTTAAAATATTCAAAATAATAACTTCTAAAATAAGAGTACATTTCTCAGAAATATCATTTGTCAAATGCCATTTTGCCATTTTGTTGCCAAAAAAATCATGAAAAGTTTCCAGCCATTCTGCAGAGCACCTCAGCCCCTTTGCCAAGTGATGTCATTCTAACAAGGGTATGTTTTCTCAGACTTGCTCTGCAGTCTCAGGCAGCTGGCTGTGGTATGTTTACTACATCGTGGCAAGAGCTGACAGTTAATGAAACACAAATCAACTTCTCCTTTTAGAATCTGCCCTGTACTCTCTCTGTGCAGCTGACAAACCAAAATGACTGTGGGATCTGTATGGTGTCTCTTTGCTTTGCTATTACTTCTTTCTACCACATCCCTGTGGGCAGCTGAAATTTCCTGCAGAAATGAAGATGGACAGACAGTTGATTGGTAAGTAAAGGAAATAAATGATGGAGGAATAAATAATGCTTAAGATTAGACTGCATGAAATCAGTGGATCGCTGAGAAGTGTAATGTATAACAATCTGTGTTTTAATCCTGTCTGCCTGTGAGTAGTATTTGAATTTTGTATTTGGAAAATTTAGGATAAGTTAATGAAATCTAATGTCATTACACTACAGCTAACCACACTATTGCATCATGACTAACTGCAAAATAATCACTGGTTTACAAAGCATTCATTTCTCATGATCAAATGAGTGTTGTAACGCCTAAGCTCCAGATCTCCTGAAGTAGTTCTCTGAGCACCCAGGTTATGGCAAGGGCAACAGCATGTGGCTTGTCACGCTGAACAAACTGATCTGAGTGGGGAAAATTGTCACTGTCTTGGCCCTAACCTCGTTGCTCATACGCAAACAGCAGCTTGGTGTGATTTGGCCCCTTCCTGTAGTTGTTGCAATGGCCAAGAGCTGATGGAAAAAAATGAAGCTGAACCATCTCCTGGCACAAGGAATGCAGACAGACGTGGCAGCGTGGGAAAACCCTGTTTGTGGTTTGTGACTAAGAAGGAGATGTCATTCTCCAGCCTCCAGAGCTGCCAGCACTTTAGAACTGCTAGCAGTCACACTGCAGCAGTGAGCATGAATTGGAGCTTGACTGGCATGATTACGTAGCTTAATGTACTTTGAAGATGAAAGATGCAAAGTGTAATTACTATACATAATATCCAACCCAGCTTTAAAAAGTGAAACGAGTGCTCTTAAAAAACAACCGCCACCTCCCAAAGATAAGCATCAACTAATTTAAAAAAAGTTTCTCTCACAGAACAATGATTAATTTGGATACAAGTGATAAAGGAGTAGGCACTGTTCCTGTAATACTTAAACATGTCCCTGTCTTCATGCATAGAGCAAATTTCAGGGAAGACAGAGGACTAGTCACACCATCGGTAGCATGGTAGGTCAAGCGTGGGCCTAAAGCCTGCTTTGCTCTGTACTGGCTTAGCATCAAGCCTAATGAAGGTCTCGTCCATCCCTATGACTTGTCACCCTTGCCCAGACAATTTTGGATAATGAAATTTTCAGGTTCAGACTCTTCTTACAGCCAGCCAAGAACTTAAAGGTAAGAATAAGTTCCTTTCTCTGCAAACTGCTATTATTTCTTGCAGAATGAATCTGCGTGTGCTTTAGGATCAAGCCAAAAGAAAATGCTTTACCATCCATTTCTTAAATAAACACAGTTTTTATATACAAATTCTCCAAGAAATTCTGTGAAAGCTATAGCTAGGAGTAATTGACCTTTGCCTCTGTGTGAACACCACTGATGTCAGGCCAGTTCCAGATGGGAAATAGGGTTCTTCTCCACAGGCCTCTGTGTAAAACAGTGCTTCTACTTGACAGGTTTAGGGGGGAAGGGACGACTTGTCTTTTAATAAAAATCTGCCATGAGCAAATGAAAGAGAAACGTATCTATTCTCACAGGTCATCCAAGCCTATTATTACAAAATAGTCAGCTTTTGCTGGATTCTGGATTCAGTTGCTGAGAAGCTGATAGGAGAAGCAGAAGTGAAACTGCTGAGAAAAGCTTCCTCTTACGCAGATGTTGATGCCCTTTCAAACAAATATAGCATTGCAGTTGTTATATTCAGTTGGCAGGAGGTTTACATGAGTCCTTACTATTCAGAGGTTTCATCCTGCAATATTCCATAATTGCTCATTATTAGTATTCATGCACCCTTGCATTTGACACTGAACTGAAGTGTTTTATGTGATCGGGTAACATTTATAGTCCCAAAACTTACTTGAAATTTCTACCTACATGAAGTGTATGGACTGTCAAAATCCTCCAGGTGTTTTCATGTCATTGAGGAGCTCACCTCACAATCTTTACTGCACCTCATGTAGGTGTTATCAGAGCAAATGATCATGGGATCAGCTCTGTCTAAGGAGGACAGAATGTCTTTATTCATCCAAAAGTCGCTGTGTTCAGTAGGATTTTTTTCACATAAGTAAAAGCTAAAACTGGGCTTTCTGAGAAGTGCTGAGTCCATCATTAAAACCAGGAATACATTTTAATTCCACTTAGGGAAATGGAGGTTATGTCCTTGGTGCACATTTTGCAGTCTGGAGCAAAATTAGTTAACTTGATAATTTTGCAATAGAGCCACTGTCTGCATTTCGTCTTCACTTCATAAGTTACTGATTTTTAGTGAAAAAAGTAAAGAGGTGATTAATTCTAGTAACTTAATGTTCAATCACAAGCAATACATGTGACAAGTCTAATCAGGTATAAGCAGATTCCTTGCCATTTATGCCTTTGCTTTTGCTTGGTTCTCAGGATAATAACTGCTACTCTGGTCCCACAAATACTTAAGCTCTTGAGACACTTCCTGTGCACAAATAGCAGTGAAGATATTTATGCAACTTAAATTGTTTATGCACTCAACTGACTTTCTGTAAAGGACCGAAAGATGTATCACTTGGGAACTGGCAAGCAATTTATTGATAGCTCAACAGCTAAAATTTCCATAAGCATATGTACTAACACAAACATTGCCATGCTTGCCTGGTGTAAGGCTATAAACATCAGAACATATACCCTCCAATATATTTCAAAGCAGCTTGGAAGAGCTTCATATACTAATTCTTGGATTAACTATTACTTTTGTAACTACTGCTATTCATCTCCTTTCCAAACCTTAATTTCAAATAAAGGGATTTTCATGGCTCTTCATGCATTTAATGCTCTCATCAAGCTTATTATACAAATCGCTTCCGTGTTCTTCCTTATAATCTGTCATCATCA